ATAAACAAGAATGACCGACCAATTGCTATTGGAGTGATTGGTCTGGCAACTCTTTACAAGAAATTCAAATTATCATGAGAAAACAATGAAGCATATGAACTTAACAAAAGAATCTTTGCACATATTTATTATGCAGCATTAGAAGAATCATGTAAATTGGCAAAGAAATATGGTCCATATAAAGAATATGAAGGTTCACCTATTTCAAAAGAAATCTTGCAATTTGATCTATGGAATGCTACTCCTTGTGATGAACTTAATTGGAAAGGATTAAAAACAAAGATTCGAAAATATAGTGTTAGAAACTTATTACTGATCGGTCTGATGCCAACAGCTTTAACATCTCAATGTATCGGTACAGGATCAGTGAAGGCCCATTCCCAGAAGAAGCAAATTTTGTTATTCGTGAAACCACAAAAGGAGCCTTCATTTATATTGAACATGAATTAGCAGAGATGTTAATCTCACATGATCTTTGGTCAAATGATATTCTTGATAAGATTCAAATGAACAATGGTAGTGTTCAAAATCTAACCCAATTTCTTAAAGAAATAAAAAAGGTATACAAGACAGCATTTAAATATCCATATAATATAATAATTGATCATGCATCTGATCGTGAGATATATATAAACCAATCACAAAGTCTAAATATTTATATTATTTCTAATGATCCTGAAATAATGATTTAACATCTTTTCAATTTACTTGTTAGAGCATGAAAAAATAGATTGAAAACTGTTTATTATATTAGATTCATGTCACTCTCTCGCCCTCTAGATATAAATTCTAATAAACCCAAATGTACTGCTACTATATGTGAATCATGTACTGTATAATCTTGGTTTTTATTGCATATATTAAAATAGAATAGATTTTCAAATATTCCTGCATTCGAATAAAATTCTTTAAAAATGTAACACACATGATAAATTGATATACAAGAGTAATTGTTATTAAAAGTAAACCTTGTAGTACTTTAATAAACTTTAGACGAAAAGTAGTCTAAGACTTGAACAAGCAAATATCTAAACACTCTTGTAAATAAAAGAAACTATCTTAGAAAAAGTATTACTAAGATAGTAAATTTAAGTACTACAATGACCTTATCTATCTTTGACATTAACACATGAACAAAAAAGTTTGATAACTGTCAACTAAGAACACAATCAAATATAATCAAACTATAAAAAGCGAGTTAAATCTCAAAATCAAAGTTTATTCTAAAACTATTCATAACTACAAGAAGAACATAATTGGCAATCAATCAGAGTTAAATTATTTATGATTATATATTCGTATATCTTAAAACACAAAATTTTATTTTTTAGTTAAAATTTTTAGAATTAAATCATTTTGATTTTTAACATCATCAAGTTTTTTTTCTAGTTCTTTAATTGTATTTTCTAATTTTTTATTATAATTTTTTAAGATTCTATTTTCTATTTCATATTCTAAGCATTTAGTTTTTTCTTGTTTTAATTTAATTTTATTATTTACAAGTATCTTTTCATATTCATAAACTTTTGGAATAAAATCTTGAATCAAACAAATACAAATTTTATCTTTATCACCAGTATAATTTTCTAATTCATTGATTGCATAATTAGTTAATTTTACATTAGAAACAAAAAATGCAATATGGTAATTTG